CTCTGTCTGGGGGTACTTTGTGGACCTGCCTCCCAACTGCGGGATGAAAGGAACTTACTAAACTGTTGCCATTTTGCAACATCTGCTATAATTCCCCTAAATCCAGATTTGTCTGACACAGAGAGCTCCTGTTCTTACATCATTGCCATGTGACAGTATAACACCAGTCACATCAAGCTTGAGGATTCCAGCTCCGGGCAATGATAATATGAAGAAAACCTTTTTTGCCTAGGGCAAAACACTTGTAGCAAAGTATTATTCATCTGGCCAATTTAAATCTTCTCTCAAAAAAGTACCCAGAAACATATGCAGCGTGCCTTTGTAAAAGGCTTGAGCTGCTCATAGGCAAATGACCTGAACCAAGAGTACAAAACCCAATGTCCTAATTAATTACTGCTAAGCAGCTCTGATACACAGAAAAGAAATGCTGGTACTAATCCTTAACCCTGTCCTACATTCTTAAAATAGCCAAAATATTGCTGACAGCTAGGAAAACAAAATTGCCTCTGATTTAAAGGTTTTGGACCCCGGCTTAAAAATAAGATGTTAAAAAAAATATATGAAAGGGACAATTTTGGAAAAGTCAAGTTGGAGTCCATACACTGGCTCCACAGCAGTGAGGTCCCCTCTTTGGGATGGAAACAGTGTCAGGAAAGCAAAGCCCAGCTAAAGCCTCTCTGGGCTCCATGTGTCTCCAAGGGCTCTGTGGGCTTGCAAGGTTGAGCTCCAAGGGCTGTTTTCCTTCTCCTGATGAGGACATGCAGCCTGAACACCACATTTATAACTGGGCAAAACGATGCCACAGTTTGGAAATTAGCACCCTGCTTCCCGCAGCAGGCACTTGGAGCATTTATTGGGGTACAATCAGTTTGCAGGCAACGATGCTGAAAACTAGATTGTGTCAAGAGATGACTATTCATGTCTTCTTACCAATTTTCTTTCTTAAGGGTGATAGCAGCTTGGTCCAGCTGTGGGGCAAATCATAGATAGCACTTTGATAATCACATCCAACACAAGCTTCCTTCTCATAGAATCATAGAATCACTAAGGTTGGAAAGACCAACAAGACCGTCCAGTCCAACCATCAGCCCATGGCTGTGACCACTCCAGAGCATGTCACTCAGTGCCACATCTACCCTTTTCTTGAACACCTCCAGGGATGGCGACAGCATCAACTCCCTGCACAGCCTGTCCCAATGCATCACCAGTACTTCACTTTTGGTATTGTCAGGCTGAATGTAAGGAGAATTTCCATGTGGCAACACCACTGTGTATTTCTTTCTCTACCTCAGTAATAATTTGGTGAGGTTTTTTTAGCTGAGAACCACTGCTGTTAGTGGATGAGAAGCCAGGGGTGAGGGCTGTACCCTCCACTGCATCATGAATCCCCCATGCAAACAAAGGAAAACTTTTTCCTTCGGTGCATTCCCCCTCCCTTCATGTGGTCAGATCCTGTGACTCTCCCAAAAGCCTTGGCTAAAAGTTCGTGTTCCTTGTTAGCACGTGTCATCAATCCTTGGTCACTCTGCTATTATGAATTTAATGCCTGAGATGCCCTTGGCCTTGACACAGCTTAGTGGTGACACTGAATGCTAAGTACTGACTGGCTCACCCAGATGCAATATCTCCATGTTGGTGGCAGCTCCCCAGTGTGGTTTTGCCCAAACTCAACACTGAAGGTCAGATTCCCCTCCAGCTCAGCCCACACGGGGACATATAACAATTTCCCAAGGGCTTTGATAACCCAGGTGTGTAGGATTGATGGGGCTCTGAACAGCCCTTGCCATGGCTCTGCAGGTCAATGGGACATCCTGCATCCCTGTCCTGACATCTGGCTGTAGCTAAGGCACCACTCAGTAGCTCATTGCAGAAGACACTTTTATTTTCACAAGGTTTACATATTATCAGGGAAAGTGTTTTTTTCTTTAGTCTACATAACTACATAAGATCAGGATTTCTCTACAAACAATTACTATCTTTTAAAATGCTTTGCAAGGAAATAAGAGTGATGTCTGCAGTCCTGCTCATTTCCTAGACATACATTCTTGTTAAATCCACATTCCAGATTTTAACTTCTTTTTTTTTTCCTTCCTCCTGCTCTCTTCCTAAGTTTGGCTGTGCCGCCATTCCATTTTGCTAATACCCCTTGAAACTGTTAACACTTTTTCCTGAATACTTTCCTAGAGGATACGAAGCAAAAAGGAAGAAAGGCTACTGTCAAACTGATTAAGTGAAAGCTCATTAGAGAAAGTAACAAGAGGTAAAATCTGCATATGCATTGCAGAAATGTGTCTGATCTTGCTAAGTTGTGAAAAGACAAAATAAGCTCAAACCTCCTTGTGCTGTAAGTAGTTGGGGGAGATGGGGGCTGGGGAGTGGAAGGGCTCCCAAACTACGTTGCAGTAACTGTTCCTGCTTAGAAATAGGCATTACAGCAGCCCCTGCTCGCACCACTTCAGTGAAGGACTTGCCAGTGTTTTAATGACAAATCCTGATGTATAGGGTCTGTGCCTGAGCAGTAAAAATGCACTATTCCTTGAGCCCTCACAAACTGGGCTGCAATGCAGAATATCTGAAAGAAGTGCAACAAAACTGTTAAAAAAAAAAAAAGGAAAAAAAAGGAAGGAAGAAAAATCAAGTCTGTGGTTATAACTGCATGAATTCTCAGAGCTGAAAAACTCTTTTCTTTTTTTTCCCCTCTCTTCCAAGTGAAGTTTGTTGAGTTGTCGGCCTGTGATAGGGAAATGTCACGTTAGCTTTAACGAATGAAGGAGTTGGGTGGTGTGTGTCCCACTTGAGCCTGTTCACTCTGCCTGGGGCACACTGGGGGACATCGTGCCTTGGGAGCACCTCTGGGCACATCCAGACTCCTGAGCCAGTGTCAATTTCACCTCAACCCTTCATCCCACCCACTCTGAGCCAAAAGTTCTACAAGGTCTGACAATGAAGTTTGTGATTTCCTCATAATTTGTCCCCGCTGAGGTTCTTCCCAAAGCCACCAAGCTTGTCTGGCTGCCCCACTGAAATGCTTCACTCCAGCACAGCACTTTGGGTTGATGGAGAAGCCAGCTCTTGTCAGAGTGCCCTGCAATGCCATAAATTGACATTCATTTCTGAAAATATAGATACACGCTTTGTTGTTACTTTGAACGTGAGCAGTACATCTCCTTCTGCGGGTGTTGTTGTGAGGCAAAGGTAAAGTGATCAGCAATACTTGTATTTCTTGCTCCTAAATGCACTCACCGTCAGATCTTATTCCCCCTGTCCTTTTTTATAATATGTATAACCCAATTAAAAAAGCAGAAAGAAAAGGAATACCAAAATACCAAGCTAAAGTAACTGGATAACTTTGACCTTAATCCACAGAAGACAGATATTTTTACGGTTCAGGCTAAAACTCCAGGCTGACATCTAACCTGACACAAATATGCTGTTGAGTGTAAGAGTCCTTGTTAAGAAAATGCCGAGAATCTGCGTGCATAAGCCTGGCAGTTCTGATTTAAATCAGAAAATGGATCTGTTTGGGAGGTAGACCACATGTCTGAAAGTTATGAAAGGGAACACCGATAATAACCATCTATGGCAGAGCACGTTTCTTGGAATGTGGAAATTACTGTATTACAACAAAGCTGCTGTTTCCACCGGGGTGTTTTGTAGCCCGTCTCATAATATTATGTATTTTGGCAGATCCTTGTAATTACAAATTTAAGACTTAAATCCTCAGCTTTTCTTTATGTTCTTTAACTACCCCTATAGGTATCCTCACTTCAAGCTTAAATCAGACCCAAAACACAAGGTGAAATGGGGCTGATTGAATTCCGGCACTTTATAATGATATTTATTAAGCTAGTTTTGAAGAGAAATGTTGAGCCGAGTGTCTCATTGAAATCCAATGGTCCTTCCAAGCCCACCAAAATTGTTTAATTAAAACCAAGGTGCGCATTAATAAGCAAGGATATCATTTTGTCATTTATATGTAATTTCATTATTTTGTTAGGGGAATGCGAAATGAAGAAAGCCCCCAAAAACACAGCAACAAGGAAGGACCGGTAAGCCTGATAATAGCCCTCCACGGAGAAGAAATAAGTATACAACAGAAGAAAAGCACAGTGAGGAACATAATGTTAGTAAAACACTCTTAATGCTACACAAGCTGCAGAAAATGCTACTTTGCATTTGGGCCGCAGCATCGCTAACTGTGGGCAATTGAGTAAAGAGTGCACCTTTTAAACTAATTCCTCGTGCTGGAGACATAGCCACATCCAGAATCCTACCTCATTAATATGCTATAGTGGTCAAATAGGAGATTAATAGCAAAGTCACCTGCTAAACCTACAAGGAACCTGTTGATTAACAATAAGCTCCAAAAATAAGATACCAGGCTGCAAAGCAAAATCGAGTCCAAGGGCAACAAGTGCTTCTGTAATTTATTCCTTCTTTACACAAGGGCATAAAGCTCCCTTTATAACCGTGTTTTCAAGGCCCTGCTGTGAGCTGTAGGTGTGAGCTTTTCAGCTGATTTATTAATTTTAGTTTCAATCAAAGTGTCACCTGCAGACACAAAAATGTAGGCCTCACCATAGGAAATACAGTTTTAAAAAATAAAATAAAATAAAAATCAACACCCAAAACCAGCAAAAAGAGTGAGAGAGAGAAGGAAAAAGAGTGAGAGAGGGAAAATAAAGGAGAAAGACCAAAGGTTTAATTCTGAGAGTCCATGCCAGCAATATTCTTTTTTTTTTTTTTTTTTTTTTTTTTAACATGAGCACCAGACAGCCTATTCTCCACAACGCCAAAATAATTCTCAGCCACATAATTAAAAAAAAAAAAAATCAAAAAAAAAATCCAAAATTAAACATTTTTGTCATACTTGGAAAGTCAGCCCCAGAGCCGGGAGCTCACGCTAACCCGGCGGCTGCCAAAACAATCAGCCCCTGTTGTCAGTAGGGGGACATTCTCCCCAACGAACCGCCTGAACAACAAGTCCACAGAGCAAAATGTGCAAAAAATTCTCAATTAGTTGTCTTTATTTAGCGAACACTATGGGGTCCTCGACGGCGCTATAGAATTATGGCAGGAAAGCTGAGCTCTTCAGTGGCTTATTAGCATTCTCCGAGGGTTGGAGTGCTGTTGGTAGCAGACTGGTGCCTCCAAGAGCTGGTGGTGGGACCCCGGCACTCCTTCAGCTTTGTCCTTTTGTCCTTCCCAGCCAGCAGGAAGTACAGCCCGATGTCCGGGGTATTCTGGGATACCTTCGTCTCATTCATGGCTTGCAGCACCAGCACTGCCCATGCCTTTGTCAGCTGCCACAAGCATCCTCCTTGCCTGGGAAGCAGGAACTCTGGGTTTGCCATTTAAAAAACGTAGTTAGAAAGTGGGTCTGCTCCCTCCTCCTCCTCCCCCAGCAGCTTTCCCAAATGAACCTCGCCGTCAATGGGCCGGGGTCGAAGAAGCTAAATGTTATGCTGCCATCCTATTAAATTACATCAGATGTTATCAACATCCCGCTCCAACATTAGAGCAAAGGAAGGCAAATGGGGGTAGATGGAAGCATCTCCCCATCCAATCCTTATCTTAATTTAAATGTAAAGTGAATTTTTTTTTTAAATTAAAAAAAAAAAAAAAAAAAAAAGGGGGAAAAACATTGGGTAGCAAGTGCTGGAAATGTCTTTTCTGAGAAAGAGGGTATTTGCTGCTTTAGGGAAAACACTATCATTGACTAAATTAACAAGTTGTCTTATCAACTGCCATAAGCCTTGAAGTCTAATTAATTTAGTACTGATCAATAGCCTTGAATGAAGCATTGATTTCTGCAGCTTTCCAGGGCTGAAGTAGAATCACATTCTCTGCTGCATCCACACTCCTCTCACAGGAATCACACATTTCTGTTATTAACGTTTGTTTCCCCCTCTTTAGTGTCCAGAAAGTATTTCAAGAATTAATTTCCATGGAAGTGTTGATCTTTTAATTTAATTCTGATTAAAGAAAGTGGCATAACAGGAAGAATATATTTCCCAGGAAGTATATTTTTCTCCTGAGTTATATTCTGCTATAAAAATCACTTAAGAAGAAAAAGATGCAGCAAGCAGATCATCAAATGGCTTCAAACTTGGAAGAACTATAGAAAAATCATTGAGGCTTTCCTCATTGATGCTTACCAATGTGTTGATGTCCACCAAAGTGTTGTCTTCTTGAATATATACGATGGGTTCAACAGAAGGATCTCTGCTCTGCTCTCAAAATAGAGATTTACAGCTTTCTGGAAAGCGTACTTAAAAGACTACAGCATCAACCCAAACAGAGGTCCTCTATCAGTCATCGGAATAAGAACAAAGTCTTTGAACACCAACGTCTGAGCCTGAAGGTGAAACTGCTTAACTGCTGTGGACGTGTTCAAGTTGCCATTAACAGATGTGCCATGGCCACCCATGGAAAAACGAGGTCCTCAGCAGAGCTGTGCAAGTCTCAAGCCTGAGACTCACTGGAGTAGGCCTCGTTGGCTATTGGAATAGGCCTCATTGACTAGGATTTGGGCTGGTGTCCCCTAGGGAGATAGAATGGACTCATTGGTATCCACAAGCCTTGAGCTGAGCCCTACAGGTAGAAAAGTAAAGTGTGTAAACCCTCCCCTATATGTCAGCCTTGAGGAGGGCATCCCATCTGGAAGGATTCTACATCCCTGAAGATGCTCCACTATCAGCAACACAACCCATGCTAGGACATGGGGGTCCTTGTTTTATCAGAATTACTTAAGCCCAAATCCACCAGGACAAAAGAGTGGAGAAAGGGACAAATCCAGCTGGCAGGTTCCCTTCCTTACTTCTGCTGGGAAGTGCTTTGACAGCTCCAGTGAGCGGTGAAAGGGAGATCAGAGTCAGGCCCTAAATGCTTACAAATTAGCTTAAATGCCAAACCTGTGTGAGCAGAAGGAGTCAAGCTTCATGACGGGTCTCCTACAAGCCCTCTGCCTCCACCGTGCTCCCTGGTGGAGGTACACTACTTGCTTGCTTTCTTTTTCCCCCTGTGCTTCCTCTTATGAAAGTAGCTGCACTCAACTGGTTCCTGTAGGGAAAAAAGAAAGGGTGTGGGGGCGTCACAATAGGAAAAAAAAAAAAAAATCTAAACTGCAGAAGAATTACATTTTACCTTTACAAAATTTGGCCCTTTTAGTTTCAAGTTAAAAAAAAAAAAAAAAAACCAACAAAAACACAACAAAAAACATACCACAAAAGTCCCACTCCTAATCTGTTTGGGGGCCTCCATGAGTTTCCATAGCACTTTACAAAAGATCTTTATTGAAGAAAGGATTGGACAAACTTTCCTTATATGTGTGGCCCTAGTCATTAATTGCCCCTGTCTTCTTTACCAAGGCCTTATTCCTATGTAAATACCCTTGCATAATGTTACAGGCTATTGTCAGGCCAGCGCCAGTCAGTCGCCACTTATATGCATTTTTATTTCAATCCGCTGCGCAGAGAATGAAAAGATGTCTGGACTTAAGCTGTTTACCAACTGGGCCAAAGCTGCAGTGTGGAAGAACTGAAGAAAGCACCAGGCAACTGCAGGAACAGACTTTGACAATGCGAGCAGCCATTTTCAGTTGAGTTATTAACCTACCCTGAAACTCTTCTAATCTATGCCTTTTTTAAAGAACAAATGTACTGAACCAAACATGAATGAGGCAGCGCTATTAAGAGAGAAATCCTCTAAAGGACTATTGAGCGCAACATAGGTTTGTAATCATTTTGTCTCAGTTGCCTGCTACCAACATTATCAATGATGGAAATGCTTGCTCAGTTGTGGTGGATTGTCTCGTAATTAAATGACAGCGCCGTACTGTAAAAGAACATGCGGAAACACAGGAGATACCGCGGGCTTTCAGACGGACCACACGGAGCAAGGAGTAGGGATGGGGATGGATTACAAACCGACTTGGAATTGAGAACGTTGCAATCTTCCTTGTAGAGCACAAGAGCGCTTTTAGGATGGTTCTGTAAGAATGAAGCCTTAAAGCTTGCTGTCGTGCGAAGCATCCTTCAGGTTAAAAGGCAACGAAACTACGTAGAGGGAATTCTTCCTCCTTTAGGTTTAAGCAAAGCACAAAAAAGAGAAATCAAGCCTCGCCTACACTCACAGGAAGAGGAGCCTTATAAGTTTGCTGCGGGCTACATCTTTGTAGTGACTTAATGGCACTACAATCTACATAGTGTAGTATTAGCCTTAAGAAACTCTTGACTATTTGCATGCATATTAGAATCCAATGAGAGCTTAATAAGTGCATATATATGACAGAGGAAACATCTCATTGCATAGTTAAAGCTACAAAAAAACATTGAGGGAGGCCAAGTCTCAAGTTAATTACCATTACAATGCAATCAAGTACGGCAGTCATAGCTGAAAACCTTTTCTATTAAGACCGCTAGGCTCAACCTTGTCTCTGCAGGTCAGCTCCAGCACAGATAACCTTTCCAGCAGACAAATACATGTAAAATTGGCTCATCTAATTAAAAGCTCAGGGAGGTGTAGAAAAATACCAGCACACTGAGCCTAAGCAAATCACAGAGTACCCCCTCCAGCTGGATGGAGCTACAATACGTAGCTGCTGTTTGTTCTGGAAGGAAACTGAGTCACTTACCATTTCAATAGGTTAATCAATTGACAATTAAATGGAGAAATTGGTTAACTCTGCAACAATTAACATGACACTCTATTAAGTACACTTTCTAATTGCCACAGCTGCAAGAGAAAATTAACGGCCGTGTCAAAGCAGCCGCAATAGGTTGTGCTGTTTCTGGTGCTGTTAATGTAATAAAAGTGACTCAAAACACCTGCACTTAATTTCACGCCCTTCAGCACAGGGAGGAAAGGCTACAGCATGAGTTCTGCCTTTAGCTAATGAACATACCACGTGTTTGTTGTGTGTGTACACGTGTTACACAGATACACGCTAAGACATAGGTGTTGGTTTGTGTGCGTGCACAGATGTATGCTGTTCTTTCATTATCTAAAGGGGGGCAGTGAGAAAGAAGGGAACAGACTCTGCAGCAGGGGCTGTTGTGACAGGATGAGGGGAAATGGTTTCCAACTAAAAGAGGGGAAGTATAATAGGATACAAGGAAAATATTTTTCTGCAACAAGTGCAGCACTGGCTCAGGTTGCCCAGAGAGGTGGTGGATGCTTCATCCCTGGAGACACCCAAGGCTGGATGGAGCTCTGAGTAATGGATTGAGATTTGGGTGTCCCTGTTCATTGCATGGGGGTTGGTCCAGATGGCCTTAAAGGGTCTCTATCAACTCAATTCTATGATTCTGTGACTATTATTTCCACCCTATAATACATATTCCTTTAAAACAACTTTTCAAATTAATAAGAAGCTTCTCTGAGTGTTGAAGATAATACACGTAAATCTTGTGCACACAAAGTGTGTGTGATTAGAGGGATACATGGAGAGACACATGCTTACACACACACATAAAGGATAAGAAGGAAATAAAGGAAACTGAAAGGTCAGCTGACTCAAGAATAGGCAGCTTTATGGTGATTTGGAGAGGTTGTGGTGGATGCCTTGCCAGGAATCAGAGTAGATACCAACAGAGCATGAGCCCTCATGGAGTTGGTGGAAATGTCTTTGCTTTTGCCAGGTCAGAAAGCTTTGTTTTGTACAAAAAGAGTTCTCACCTTCTCCATGCAAAGCCTCAATGCTTTTGCTGGGAAGAGCAATAGGGTATGAGCCATACACAGCAACTGAGGGTCAGCTCTTCTTGCTCCTGCTGGAGCAAGTGCTGGTGGTGGATACCTGCTTCACGCTCCACACGGTGTTTCAGGTTTTCTATCTACAGCAGTTGTTTTCCAAAGGGAATCTTAAGACCCATCCTCATATAGGTGACTTTTCTGGTGTTCGCACAGCTTGCATCTTTTGGAGATGATGGCAAGACCTACTTTTTTGTGGATGCAGTTCAATGACGGGCTAAACCCCTCCTCTATTACGTTTAAGTGGTGGGAATTTAAGAACTTCTTTACTCAATGGGTGGTGAGGCACTGGAGCAGATTGCCCAAGAAGCTATGGATGCCCCATCCCTGGAGGTGCCCATAGCCAGGATGGAAGGGGCCCCAGGCAGCCTGACCTGGTAGGAGGCACCCAGACCTCAGCAGGGGTTGGAACTAGATGACGTTTAAGGTCTCTTCCAACCCAACCATTCTATGATATTCCATTTTATGATAAGCCTTTGTACCATGCTGCTGCTTTCTATCTGCTTTCTCTGGATGTGATGGGTTAGAGACTGCACTCAAACATGGGTCTCTGTAACCAGCCGGCTCCCAGCCTGTTTCCTACACAGGGCTGTATGGGGAACCTATAAAGAATATCAATACGAGTGCCCTGCAGAGGCTTGTAAGGACACGGTCAGGTTTTCCCAGAACAAATTATATTACTTCTGATCTCTGCTGTGAAAGAAGCAAAGCTGTAAATCCTTAAAGCTAATAGTGCTATAATAGTAATTGTTTTGGTTTGGGTTTTTTTAGCCAAAAAAAGAGGGAAGGACATGTTACATCAGCCGCTGGTGTTCAGAAACCATGAGAATTACAGCTTTCTGCAATGAGATGAATTAAGCTAAAAGCCATATTAAGCAGCACTGCACATCTGTTGCACTTTTTTATTATTATTCCATATGTGTCCTTGCTGTATGAAAGTGTTTAATGTTGTTCGGCTAATTGATAAAGTCAAACGCTAATGTTTTAACTCAGCCTGAATTCCCATCAGGCTTCAGGCTGGAAAATTCATCTTTCTAGAAACTTGTGTCTTGTGATTTTGCTAGGACAGCCTATTAGCTGCCTCATTTCCCTGCAATGATGAATTTAGATTTGTAAAAGGCAGGAAAGCTGCAGGGACAGCGTCTGCTCCTCTCCTTGGTGAACAAAGCCCATTGTGGCAGCAGGAAGGAGGACGAGGTCTGCCAGGCTTTGCCATGCAGCCCTGGAGAACCTATAGCTTCAGGAGAAGGCTCTGCAGGTAACAGTGAGGGTGTCTGATGAGCACTGGGATGCGGTGTTTGAAGGACCTTCTCTGCTGGCAGCTGACCAGAGAGCCCAGCAGTGCTGGTGGCAGCAGTTCAGGTTAATAAATAGCAAGGAGTGAGACATCAGGGTGAAATCCCGGCCCAGAGGAGTCTGCAGTTGGCTTCTCTGCTGAGAAGAAATCTTCCTTGAAAGGCTTTTCCTTGGAAAATATGCTGAATGCATGGTGCAACATCTGGAAACGAAGGAGAAACCCACAGCTTTCCCCTATCTGCCATGGCAGAGCTGCTGCTGCCGTCCCTGCCTGAGTCAAGAGGAGGTCTGTCCCCACGTGCCATGGGTGTAGGCGAACATATAGTTCTAATTGCAGCTGCTTTCCCTCTAATTACAGCTCCGTTTGGTTAGGATTTTCCTCCAATCCCTCATTTCCCCTAAAGCAAACACCAGTGCACCAGAGTTCTAACCCCAGTGGGGACATTTATTAATAACCCCCTCAGCAAATAGGCAAAAAAAATCATTACGCTGCATTAGGAGCTAAAATATTTTCTCACTGCAAAAGCTAATTGATAAAACCAAGCAGACTTTATGGGGCAATTAATGTTAAGATGAAAATAAACAAGAGAGCAAAACAAAAACAGAATCACGGAGAATATGTGTTTCTGGCTTTGAGGGTTGTTATGGTGAGGTGGAAAAATACTCGTAGAACCACAGAATCATAAAACCATTCAGGTTGGAAGAGACCTCCATGATCCCCAAGCACAACCCCAGCCCACCCCACCATGCTCACTGCCCACATCCCTCAGTGCCACATCTCCGTGGCTCTTGGATATCTTCAAGATGGTGACCATTGACCCCACCACTCCTTGGGCAGCTGTGCCACTTCATCACCACTCTTTTGGAGTATAATTTTTTCCTATTATTCTACCAACTTGTCCTCTCCCATTGCTAGAATTGCCTTTTTTTTTTTTTGGTCTCTCTCAGAAAAGCTACCGATTCTGTATTTCACTGTAAAAATTTACAGTGGGGTACGTAATCTAGATGAATTTGTAGCCCCAGAACAAAATCCATAGTATCACTTTAAATAATGATATAAGATGAAAGGGGAAACAACTTCAACTTTGAGCTACCTCCAGGGCTCCATGCTAGTAGCTGCTAATACAAGCCAAACAGAGAATAACCAGAACGCAAAACCACACCAGCCCAGACACACAGCCTTCATATGAGCTCAGGAGGGTGGGGATGGAGATAATGAAGTTCTGGGCAAACAAAATGCTTCCTACCTGATATTTTATTCATTTATCAAAGAATATTACCCATTCCTGTCCATGCAAGCAGTGGGAATTTTACAGGGTTGATGAAAAGCTAACCGAAGTGTGAAAGCTAAGTTCTTTTCTAACTAGCAGTTTACAACTCCATTTGATTCTTAAATTTTTACTTAGTTTAGGTTAGTGAGGGTTTTCAGCAGCTGGGAGCGCTGTGCAAGTCCTGTCTAAAGAGATGAGGGATGCAAAAAGTCCTTTGATTTTTTCTTTCATAGAATCATAAAATCATTAAGTTTTGAAAAGACCGCCAAGATCTTTTCCATCTAGCCCAGCCATCAACCTATCCCCACCATGTCCACTAACCATATCCCTCGGTGCCACATCTACCCTTTTCCTATTGTGGTTTCAAAAAAAAAAAGGCACAATAACTTCTTTATTAAATAATAATAAAAAAAGTTTGGATGCATCCTATTGCTATTTGAAGACTCTGCATTGGCTGATGCAGAGAACTTGCTTCCTATGTGTCAACATGTTTCCTGGGAAAACTATTCCCACATCCATTGGGGCAGGCCATGACGTCTCCTAACATTGAAAGGACTCCAGTGGAGGAATGTGTACTGTGATTCAGCTCCACATGTGGTTGGGCTGCCAAGCAAGTCTCAGGGGACTTGGCCATGCTGTGTGGAAGGTGGGGCAGGAACTTTTAACCAAGCATTTCTTGACCCTTAAAGAGCAGCTGGGCCTACATAGAGTTAGCAGGCTGAAGGTCATCAGCTATTTTAAAGAAGGTTCATCTTTAACACACTGTGTTCAGAAGGTGATGGTATCTCCTCAAGCTGCCTGAGGGCAACAACATCTGCTCATTCACCTGTAACCCAACTGAGATTATACTTTGATTCCTACCGTATGCAGGGCAAACAGCTCATGGTGGCTTGTGAACTGAACATTTTAAGACATGTAGTTGCTCACTGTCCTTTTGTTCATCTTTCCCATAGGACTTGTGGGAGGCTGGTCCCTCTTTGAACATCTAGACTAGTGTATGGCTGCATTCGCTGGAGGAGGAACCCCACCTGGAAAGCCGAGGCCAGAGCTGAAGGCGGGACTCAATTCTCTTCCCCCTTGATGTGCTGGTCCAGCTCTGAGGAGATGCTAAGGTAGCAGTTCATCCATCTCTGCTGGCTCTGGAAGGGAGCGTGGGGGTCCACAGATCCTTCTTGTTTGTGTGTTGGTCCCAGTCTCATCACTTACATGGAAGTTTGCTTGCAGGTGAATGCAAAGAGAATCCTGGTTGTGTTGATGGCATCAGCTGGGCTCTGCTGTTGTGTGGCCTCAGTCTGAATTTCTGAGGAA